TCCTCCTGGAGAGGGACAGTGACCATGGTAACCCAGGGGGCTCCTGGGGCTTTGTGATCTTGGACACACCATAGTTAGAGGAACAACAGACCGTGCTGTCAGTCTGCCGCGCATTGCATGCTGCTTATCTCATTTGAGCTTCACAACATGTTTGTGCTGTAGCTGCTCCAAGTATCGTGATCCTCCTTTTACAGTTGAGGAAAGGGGATTATGTTACTACTACATGGCCAGCTGTGATTCGAACCCTGGCCTTCCCCATACAGAATCCCATTCTCTAGTCACTGTTGTGTTTTCTTTTGTGATTAACAGCATTGTCATGGGATCATCGATTAGAGTCAGAAGAGACATTTAGAGACCACTGAGACCAATCCCCTCATTGTACAGATGAGGAAACTGAGTCACAGAAAGGCTAAATGACTTACCTACAGACACACAGAGCTGGAAAATGTCTGAGGTGGGATCTGAACTCTAGTCTTCCTTATTCCAACTCCTGTGACCCATCTCCTCCACCACGTTGTCATCTGCTTGATGTTGAAATACATTGGTTGTGGGGGCAGCTAGGTGGCGCAGTGGATAGCACACCGGCCCTGAAGTCAGGAGGACTCGAGTTCAAATCCGGCCTCAGACCAAATACTTGACACGTACTAGCTGTGTGACCTTGGGCAAGTCACTTAACCGCGATTGCCTCAATAAAAAAAAAAGTGAAATACGTTGGTTGTTATTTCAAAGGCTTTGCAGTCTCCTTCAAGCAGGTACTTCCTTTATCATTGCAGATCCCAACCTGCCTGTCCCTTCTTATCCTGTGTCTTTTTGTTCATTTTTAAAAATAAATCCTTTGTAAAAGAGACCCTTTATTCTCGAGGCCTTCCTCTAGGCCAGTGGATCTCAACCTCTTTTGGACCTCAGTTTCCCCAAATGTAAAATGAGAGGGTTGGATTAGATGACTTCTGTGGTTCCTTCTACTTCTAAAGCTACTGTCTCAAAGCCTTGCTTGAGGTCTAGTCTGCCCCACCTCTCCTGGGTATAGGTACTGATAGACTCCTTTGATGGGCATGTGAATATCCAACTGTCTCTGCATTTTTCATCCACTTGGTTTTTCCAGTGTGGATTGCTAATCATTGTAATGTGAGAGAATATTTGATCAAATGAGGAACAACCAAACTGAGTGGGCTGTTTGGGAGAAACGCCGGGATGAGGGACCTCTGGAACACTTCTCTGATTTGGCTAAACATTTGAGCTTTTGTCCTGGGAAGAAAGACTCTAGTGGAAGCATGCCTTCCCACTCTGCATCCTTGTAGCTCGTAGGTGGGCCATGAACCAGAGGCCTGTGGAGCATCTCTGTTAGAATCATTGTACTGGGTCAGGTCCTCAGACCATCATTTCCATCCTTAACAGAGCTGATGTTCTGTGGAGCGCTTTAAGGTTTGAAAACCCGCATATATTTGAGTTTCGCCATAGTCCTGGGAGAACTGCAAGGGATTCACTTCGCTTGGACAGGAAAATTGCTAAAGCAGCTTCTCCAGACTCATGTAGTTCATAAGTGTCTGAGGTGGGGCTTGAACTCAGGTCTTCGTCGCTGAAAGTCCAGTGCCCTAGGCATTGAAGGCCATTCTCTTCTGTATGTGACGTTGTGAAAGGGTGTATTCTGCCTCACGTGTATGATTCTGAGCAAAGCACTTCATCTCCAAGGCTCAGTTTTCTCATCTGTAAAATGGGGATAATTATAGCACATACTTTGCAGAGTTGCTTTGAGATGCCAATCAGAGAGTATTTTGAGGTTCCAGTTAGATGCGATAGAGCATCCTTCAGTCTGACTGTGCCCTAGAAATAGCAGCTGTTTTTATTACAAAGTGTAGGGATACTCCTTTAAACTTTGCTACCTCTTCACTACAAGATCTCTGACCGATTGATTTATTGAGACTCATTTTGCATGTGCTCAGGTTTGTAGCCACGAGAGCTCTCCTGTTCTGCTCTCGCTCACAGGAAGGTCTTTCTAGTTCCTAGGACATTACAGAGACTCTCTCTTAGTTGGGGCCTTGCTCTGTCTTAACTGACTACCTTGTGGTCCCGGCCATGCTGACGCCAAATGTGTAAGACAGAAAGAAATGGGATGAGCAGGGGCTGGGTGGGGTCAGCATCCGGCCACCTTGGAGGCTGCTCATACGGCCAAGGTACTTCCCATCCCCTCCTAAGCACCAGTGTAGACTTAGCCTGGCTTAGTCAGCATCTGAAGCGTTTCTCATGGAATATTCAGGTCTGTGTTAGTCTGCATACTGGATTTAAAGCTAGGAGGCCGTTGAGGCTGACCCCTGCATTTACAAGTGAGGAAACTGAGGTCGATGGAGGTCGGGTCACTCATCCAAGGCCACCCAGGCAATAAATATCAGAAAGTGGCCCTGAATCTGACTCTTCTGACTTTAGAGCTTGTGAGTGTTGGAGGCAGGATTTGAACCCAGCTCTGTCCAGAGCTGTTTTTCTCCTCCTCACCCATGCAGCCAGGAGTGGTCCTGCTTCGGGAAAGTGGGGCAGCCCAACATTTGGCCCCTGCTGATTTGCATGGTCTGTTTAGTTAAAAGAAGTTCATTGGATTATTTTTTTTACTTTTACTATTTACTATAAGTAATTTACTATTACTTTTATTTTATTTTTTTTTGTTTTGTTTTGGCTAGGCAGTGGGGTTAAGTGACTTGCCCAGGGTCACACAGCTAGTTAAGTGTCAAGTGTTTGGTCTGAGGCCAGATTTGAACTCAGGTCCTCCTGACTTCAGGGCCTGTGCTGTATCCACTGAGCCACCTAACTGCCCCAAAAGTTACTATTGCTTTTAAAATAGACATGTTGTTCCTTCTGAGAAAGCACATACTTCACCATGAACTGGTTTTAAAAATATATATATATATATGATATATATAGCGTTTTTTTTTTTGAGACTGTGTTTTACCAAAAGTGATTCCTCGTCTTCTCATGTGGTTTATGCTTTGACGAATTTGCCTCTGAGAAGGGTGCAGAGGCTTCCCTAAGCTGCCCCTGGCCAGGACACCGAAGAAGCCTGAGAGCCCTGCTCCCAGGGGCAGAGACTTTTCCTCCTGTCCCGGGTTCTCCCCTTCTGTTGTCATTCATGTTTCCTCTGGACGCATCAGTGTATTCTGTATCCTATAGGAAATGTGAACGGCCAAGGATCTGGAATGCCGGGTGTCCATCATGGCAGACACAGAAGCCAAATGTGTCAATTACTGTGGGTATTTAAATCCCCTCCTCTGGGATTGGCCATCTGTCTCTTGTCCTTTTCCGCCCTCTGGTGGGAGAATCTGGACATTGCAGCCCTGCAAAAAAAGGGCTTTGTAGATATGTGGTTGTAAAGCACTGGGGGTGGGGTGGGGGGGGTGTCTATATCTAAAGCAGGTGTTCTAGTCTAACCCCTCATTTTACAGATGAAGAAACTGAGGCACAGAGGAGGAAAGAAACTTGCTCACGGTCACCCCCCTAGTAAATGTCATAGGAATTGAAGCTTGTCGGAACAATATTGTACTTTGCATGTGTTAAGTTTCCCCGGTCTCTTTAGTTCCTAAGTTAAAAAAAAAAATCCTAGAGGCCTTGTAGGGTAGTGGATAGGGTGCTAGGCATGGAATCAGGAATAAATGAATGAGTGAAAAAGCATTTATTAAGCACTTACTGTGTGCTGCCCACTATGCTTAGGGTTGGGGATACAAATATAAAACCAGAGTGTGCCTGCCTTCAGGAGCTTCTGTTCTAAGAGGGGAAATACTCCATCTAGGAGAGTGACAGGCAGCAAGCTCCGCTGTCATCCTTTCTCTGACACTTCCAGCTGGTGGCCGTGGACAAGTCACTTCATTCACTTACTGCCCTGTAGCATTAATGGAGACACGGGTTTTACTCTGCCTTGGTGTCAGGGTTTTCCACACTGGGAGCTCCAGAGGCTTCCAGGATGGCAGGTCTTAGAGGATGTGTCATATTTCTGCCATTTCTGACCCTTTTCCTCTCTCCTCACCAGACTGCCATTATCATGATCATCATCTTTGTGAAAATTATCCCTCACATTTATATAGCCTAAAGCACACTCTCTCTCCCCACACATATGTGTGTGTGTGGTGTGTGTGTGTATATATACATACATACATACATGTATACATATGTGCACACACGTAGACATTCACTTCACAGGTGCTACTATTGTTCCCATGTTACAGATGAGAAAAGTCCAGGGTCACGCAGATACTAATTGTCTGAGACAGCATTTGAATTCAGGTCTTCCTGACTCCCAAGTATGAGATAAATGGCGGAAATGCACACGTTGCACGTTGATGGAAAAAAGAGGCAGCTTGGTGGTACTGTGGATAGGCCTGAGTTCAAATCTGGTTTTAAACACTTGCTAACTGTGTGATGGTAGGCAAGTCACCTAATGTCTGTTTGCCTCAGAAACATACCAATATTTTTTAAAAAATTGAGAGGGCGTTTTGCATTCATTCATTAAATCTCTATCTTCATTAGCATCCGGACAAATGTGATAATCAGCCTCCCTCATCATCCTGATGGGAATTGTGGCCTTTCTGCTTAGGGTGAGGGGCAGGCTGGGGACTTCTTCAGAAAGAGAGGCTCTTGGTAGGACCCTGCCTACCAAAGTGGGTGCCGGGAGGAGGGTTTCCAAAGTGGGTCCTCTCCCTTGAACAATGTCATCTGTCCTGTTGGCTGAGCCTGTGCGCCACCGTGTGGCCCTGTGTGGTAATTGCACATAACCTGTCAGGCTGAAACCATCAGAGACTTTTCTGGTGTGGATGCTGAAAAAATCAGAATAGAGAAGATCAAAACAATAAACTCTTAGATTTGGAAGGACATCTGTGGTAGCTCTTGAATATTAGTTAATCTCTTCTAAAACATCCATGTCAAGTGGTCACCCTGCTTCATCTCTCCGGGCAGTTCATTCCACTATTGGAGAAATAGTAATGATGGTGATGGTGATGGTGATGATGGTATTGAGGATGAGGATGAGGATGATGAGGGTGATGGTGATGGTGATGGTGATGGTGATGATGGTGATAAGGATAAGGATGATGATGGTGATGGTGATGATGGTGATAAGGATAAGGATGATGATGGTGTTGGTGATGATGATGATGGTGATAGTGATGATGAAGATGATGATGAAGATGGTAGAAATTCCTTTTCAAAAATTATTTATTGAATAATATAAATTCCTACCATAAAAAGTTTCTTTCTCTGTTTATCTGTCCCTATCTCTTTCTCTTCTTTTGCCTTTTCTCTGCCTCACTCTTATCTGCCTTTATCTTTCTGTCTCTGTCTCCTTCTGTATCTCTCCCAGATGTGTCTCTCAGAGTTCTGACCTTGGTTTGATGTTGCAGTCTTTACCCCCGTTAGCTGACGTGCCCCTCTCTGCTTGGGGTGTGCGTGTACTGGGACACACTTTCTACAAGACCCAGTAAAGATGTCTGTCTTTGTAGTGGGGACGGCAGACATTTGGGAGGTGCCTGAGCTCTCCACCCCCTGACCAGACCCCTGGGTGCTAAGAGCTGCAGGTGACATTAACCCCATTTTATAATTGAGGAAACTGAGGCAAGTGATGTGGCGAAAGTGGCCACGGTCACACCACACCAAACCCAGGTCTTTCTGACCCCCAAGTTCAGTCCTCATTCCTCCATGCTGTATGCTGGGCCTCTTTTCTAGTGTCCATCTTCAAGTCCAGATCTTTCTGTGGGAAAAGGACAGTTTTGGTGCTTTGGTGACCCTTCTTGAACACTTTTCTTCTTCCTTCTCGCTGCCTGGTGGGTCCTTGGACCTCCGAGGCCGGCCGGCCCTTTGAGGTTACAGAGGCCAGCCCCTCTGTGAGACACAAGCATTTTCCCTCTGGTGTATTGGACAACTGACCCAGAATTCTGTGACACTGATCGTTGTTGTGCTTCATATCTCCTTCAACAAGCACTTGGCAGGTACTTGTGTCTGCGTAAGTGCCAGGGAGAGCATTGGGCCTGGAACTGTGCTTCCACGTGTCTGGTTTGTCCTTGGTTTTTTGGTCTCCAGTTTGATCGGGCAGAGGGGAGAAGCAGGTGCTGGGCCGGGGCTTGGATGCAGAAATTCCCTTCACCCGTGCCCACTGGCACCTTCTATGCCGCTGATAGTCTGGAAGGATTGTCTGGAGCAGAGGCTAGACGTCCCCAACTCACCGACCTTGTTCAAACTGGCAGCCAGGCAGGGGGCTGGATTTGGCCTGGGGGCTGTGGTTTGCTGGCCCCTGGGCCAGAGCGTTGAGAGAGTAAGTGATTGGTTCAGGGTCATACAGCCACTGTGTGTCAGAGGTAGATCTCGAACCCGTGTCTTCCTGGTTCTGGTGTGGCTGTCCAACTCCAGTGCTTGGCATAGTGCCTGGCATGTAGTAGGCACTTAATAAATGTTGATTGATTGACTATGATGCCTCTCCTTGATATTGTTACAACAGTTTTATTCCATGTTTGTGCTTACTCTGTCTCTGTCTCTTTCTGTCCGTCTCTGCCCCCTCCTGTCTCTCTCTCTCTCTGTCTCTGTGTTTCTCCTCTCTCTTTCTCTGTCTTTCTGTCTCTGTGTCTCTCTCCCTTTCTTTCTCTCTCCTCTCTCTGTGTCTCTGTTTCTCTCTCCTCCCTCCTACTCTCTCCCTCTTCTCTCTCTCTCTCCGTCTCTTCTCTTCCTATTCCTTTTCTCTCTTCTCTCTTTCACTCTTTGTCTATACCCCCACCTCTCTTCCCTTTCTCCCCCTCCCTCTCTCCTCTTTCTCCTTTCTCTCTCTCTTCCCTTTTTTCTCTCCTTCTCCCCCTCTCTGCCCACCACCTCTCCCCCTCTTTCTCCCTCCCCCATCTCTCCTTCACCTCTCTCCTCTCTCTTCTCTCTCTCTTGTCTCTCTGTCTCTGGGTCCCTTGGTCTCTTCCTCCCTCCCTCTGCTCCTCCTCTCCCTCTCCATCCCCCGTCCCCCGTCCCCCATCTCACACATGCCAGTTCCTCTCTCCCGCAGCCCTAGGTCGCTCCTCAGGGTCTCTTCGCTTTCGGCTGTGGCAGATGGCAGAAGTCGTGTGCTTGTTTGGGGGCAGTCCAGCTGCTGTTTCAGGGGCTGATCTTTCTGTCCTCTCTGGGTAGGGCTGCATGCCTGGCGGCGAGTCCAGAGGCAGCGGCCTGACCTTCCTGCCGGCGAGGGGGCAGACGCGGTGAGGGTGACCCTCAGCGACTTCCTGCAGGCCGTGAACGACGTCCGGCCCAGCGCCATGAGGGAGGTGGCCATCGACGTCCCCAGCGTAAGTGCTTCTTACTGCCCGTCCCGTCTTTGCTCCACCCAAACTGTCCTCAACTTCCACCTCTCACCTCACTGCCTTTGCCCATGCCGTGGAGTCAGGAAGACCTGAGTTCAAATCCTGCCTCAGACACTTACTAGCTGTGTGACCCTGGGCAAGTCACTTAATTTCTGTTTGCCTCAGTTTCCTCATCTGTAAAAATGGGGATAATAATAGCATCTACTTCCCAGGGTTGTTGTGATAAAACAATAATTATAGAGTGCTTGGCACACAGCACCATGTGAATTCTATCTGTTTCTCTCTTGTTCTATATGTCCCATATAAACACTCATCCTGTAGGACGAGCTGGGCCTAAGCCCGAGTCAGCGAGGGGAGCAGGTTGGTTTATCTAGAGCCCTCAACGGTCCGTGCTGTCCTCTGACTCCAGCTCCCATGTTTTCAAACACCGTCATGCTCCTGGGGACGCTCGCTGGCTAATGCCCTTGGCCATCTGCACAGAGTTGACATAGCCTGTGAGCCGAGCACAGCATTGTGTTGGGGGTAAGGAGGCTTTAGCACACAAACGGTGGTGGGTTGTATGCCCAAAAGTGCCTGGTCAGGGAAACGTGAGGGTCCGAGCAGAGAAGAGGATTAACGGATGCTAAGTTAGTGGTCTCCCGCGGGTCACTTAGGACTTTCATGGCTGGTAAAGGAGGGGACTGAGAGACAGAGAGAACAGCTGGCAGATGGATGTACACCAAAATGGGACCCGCGGCATCCCATGGAAGGGCTCCAGTGAGGCCAGGGACAGGACCGGATTGGTGAGAAGATAGCCTGGTGTACGGGTGATCTTCAGGGATGCTGGGACGCCCCACACTAGTGAGATTATTTCACGGAATTCTCTGAGCCTCTGACCCCCATTTAGAAGGGACTCAATTTGATGAAGAGTCCATCGAAGTATTTTGAGATTTCTTTGAGAAATATAGAGTAGGGGTGTGTGTGTGTGTGTGTGTGTGTGTGTGTGCGTGTGTGTGTGTTGATTCACCAAGAGAAAGCCTGTCGCTCTTTCCGCCACCGAAGGATTGTGTGTCCATTGGGCTCTTCCAGGGAACAATGCGTCCTCCTTGGTACAAACGCCGTCCTTAGCTGGGGAGCCGTCACATTGCTGCCTACACCTTCGCCCTGTAGTTCGTGCCTCTCGATGTTATTTTTAAATGAATGACGGGTGTGTCTCTTTGGTCACCAGAATGGAACTGTTGGGGTGGACCATTTATTAATGCTGGCACGCTCCGATTTCCTTTGTGGCTTTTTGAGAAAAGTATCAGGAAAGTGACCAGGCCCAGAAGTGCTGGCAGAGAAAGTGAGGAGGATGGGAGAATGAGCTTTTCTTGTGGCTGACTCAGTGCATGACACATAGTGGGTACTTAATAATGTTTTTTGAATGAATTGGAGTGAAGATGATGAATGAAGCTGCCAGGGGAGAAGAGACAGGAAATAGCATACTGAGCCAAGACCTGGCTTTGGATTCTTACTCAGACACGTCTGAGCCATATGACCCTGGGGAAGACCCTTAATTTCTCGTAGCCTCAATTTCCTCATCTTTAAAATGGGAATAAGAATAGCACCTCCATCATAGAGTTGTTGTGATCAAATGAAATACTGTGTGAGGTACTTCCAAAACCTTAAAATGCTACACAAATATTGGATATTATTAAATAATAACGCATATTTCACAATTCTGTTAATGTTAACATTTATAGAGCACTTCTCTCAGAATAGCCTTTGTGAAGTGAAGAGGGGTACAAGCATTCTTATTCCTAATTTCCAGAGGAGGAAGCTGAGACCCTGTCCATGGTTGTATGATTAGTAAATTTTGGAGTTGGTCAGCGTTTGAACTCGGGTCTCCGGACCTTCAAGTCCATTTCTAGTAGACCATGGTTCCCACACCCATAGCTGCTTAATCAGTTTGAGAAGCATAGACTCTATTTGGGTCCATGTTCTTCCTGTGAGTTCTGTGACCCAAGATGCATTGAGAAGTGGCAAGAACCCTTTGATCATATTTTGACCAGTAGTTCACATCTGAACATAAATATTTTGGGAGCATTTGGCCTCGGGGCCTGAGGGGGAAACCCCAGGGTTTCTCTTTGTTGGTAGAGTCCATATAGTTCTGGGGAAATATGTCCAGTCTTGGTCTAGGCCAGGGTTGGGATGGCTTTTTGGTGAGAGCATATCTCTCCTCTTCCCCCCTGGAATTGTTCCCGACAACTGATGGATCATGAAACAACCCTTTCCAAGGTCCTGTGCTCAACTCTGGGACTGCAGATACAAAGGGAGACAGTTTTCCTTGTAGGGAAGGTTTGCCCATTATAAGCCAGTATTGGTTTTTGATAGCAATTAGCGTGCCTACTTCATTCCAAACAATCGGAAGAGAATCCTGTAAAAGAAATCTGTTGAACAGCTGGACCCATAGGATGGTACCTGGGGCATGGAGCTGGGGGGAAGGGGATGTGCTGGGGTTGGAACAGATATTTCGCCTATCCCCCCATTCTTGGCACACAAGCCTAGCTCGGGCTCATTGTCGCTGGTCTTGGTCCAGTGTGCCTATGTTCAAGTCACTAAATGCTATACTGTGGGGAAAAGTCCATCCAAGAGCCAGGGAAAGAAATTGGCACTGCTGACCAGAAGACATTTGGACAACTCCTGGAGAGTGTCAGAAAACTTGGACCTTTGGCCTCTGCAGTGAAAGACTAAGTCAGTGTTTAGCCAGCCAGTCAACCAGTGAGCATTTCTTAAGTGCCTACTATGTGCCAGGATACAAGAAGAGGCAAAAGATAGTCCCTACCCTCATGGAGCTTACAGTCTAATGGGGACAAACAAATATGCACAATAAACAGGAAATGATTAGAAGAGGGAAGGTGCTGGAATTAGGAGGGGTTGGGAAAGGCTTCCTGTAGAAGATGGGAGCTTAGTTGGGATTTGTAGCCATGGAGCCCAAGCTAAATTTCCTTGGCCGGCGCAGTGAGGAAGGGGCTGATTTGGCAAACAGTGGGTTCTCCCTTCTTAGAGGCTTTCAAGCAAAGCCTGAATGGGCCAGCCTACGGAAGGGATTCTTGGTCAGGTACAGAATGGGCTAGAGGGCCTGTGATTCTCTGATTGCTCTGTGGTCTGCTCTGATTAGGCCACACCCAGAATTCTCATCAGTTGTTCATCTCTAAGAAGGGCATTGGAAGACTTGAATTGTTTTTAAGAGGATGGATGAGGATCATGAAAGACTGTCCTTGAGGCCAGGAATGCCCCTTGAAATGTGTTGGAGCTCTGACCACCTGGTAGATTGGAAAGGACACTGGCTCTTGAGCCATTGGGTTTGGGTTCAAATCCTACCTGTGTGACCTTCAGCATATTTTTGGTCTTCTCTGGTCCTCAGTTTTCTCAATAATAATATGAGGGGCTTGGGCTAGGTGGCTGCCAGGGCCCTTTCCAACTCTAAAGCTACAATCCGACAGTCCGTTGGTGTTATTAAACTGATCTTACCTGTCCCAGGAAAGAGCTCTCTTGTTAACTGAGCTCATGAAAGACTTTCTTAATTTTCTCTTGTTGCTGTATTTATAATCCATGCCCTTGTGCCATTTTTCTTTGGAGATTTCATGGGTTGGCAGCTGTCCATGGTGCCTGCAGTGCTACCTGTGAGCTCTGAGATGATGAGCACATTTCTGCAGTCAGTTATAAGAGGAAAAAAAGCCCTGTGGTGGCAGCATTGCTGTAGGCAGACCGCTTTTTCTTCCCTCAGTGTTTCCTGGCAAGTGAGTCTATAAGAAGGAGTAGCGTGTCAAGGCATCTGAGTGATTTATGTCCAGGAGTTTTCAGGGCTGGAAGCCCAGTTAAGACCTGCTTTAACCAAGTGGGAGATGACAATGTGTATTTTTCCCTTCCTTTTGAGGAATGGTTTCAGGTGGGGGAGGGGGGGATCCAACATATGCTGACGTCAGTTTGGTCTTGAAAGAATGGAATGTCCCAGGATGAGCAATGTCGTCAGCGCTGCATTGCTGGTGTTGAAATGACCCATTTTATTGTTTGTTTCTGAGTGGATATGGTGGAGGTCAGGGCTTTGTTAAGATGGGACCTAGCCATATTTGGACCTACTGCGTGGTGAACATACAGAAGTGTATGAGAACCAGCTTTATTCACTTTTTTTTTTGACTAGACAGTGGGCTTAAGTGACTTGCCCAGGGTCACACAGCTAGTAAATGTTATGTGTCTGAGGCCGAATTTGAGCTCAGGTCCTCCTGAATCCAGGGCCGGTGCTCTATCTACTGCGCCACCTAGCTGCCCCAGCTTTATTCACTTTTGTCTGAGTGAATGTTTGTCCAAGTGAATATGCACAAATATGCATTCAGTTTCATTCAGTGAGCATCAATAAAGTGCCAACTGTGTATTAGGGATGCAGAGAAAAAAATGAAACATTCCTATTCTGGAATGAACTTACTGGGGAAACAAATGTAGATACAATATGTACAATTTATGTATTAAATACAAAGCAAATACAAAAATAATTTTGTCTAGAACAGGGATTCTATGCCTTTTTTTACTTCATGGACCTTTTGGCCAGTCTGAGGAAGCCCATGGATCCTTTCTTAAAATAATAGTTTGTTGACTCCATTCATAATTGAAAGAAAAGCTAACTTTCAGCAAGAAGTTAGTGAAAAGAAGGATGTGACTTTTTTTTCCATCCAGGTTCACAGATCCCCCTAAATCTCTCCCCACAGGCGATGAACCTCTTGGATCTAGAACCATGTTTCCCAAACTGCTGTAAACCCCTGATGGAAATCTGGCTTCTGGGAGACAGTGTTGATGCCAGCAGTACTTTGGTTACAAAAATATTAAATATTATTTTATGTACCAGTTAAGACTGATCATATCTGGAAATGTTTCAGTATAAAAATAAGTTTCAAGTCCTATATTGCTCTGAAATTTCACTGGCCCTACTTTGTTCTGTGGGTCTTCTAGGGTCCCAGGATTCTTTTAGA